TGATAAGAATTGAAAACCCTAGATCAGCCTGCCCTAGCTCATGAAGTTTGGCTTTTAATTTACTGCTGCTCTATGTCTGCTTTCAATGAACTAATGTGATTATGTGAGTGTGAAATGGACCAAACTATTCAAATTTGATTCGTGTTTGGCTTATTAAAAAGTTGTTCGAGATTGACTCATTATGTAAATAAATCAAGTTTAAACACATTTTGAAACTCGTAAAGTTTCAATGTAAGGTATAGCAATCTACTACTTAGAGTTTAACTTTGGTTATGTACATTATAAAAAAACAAAACTACTCAAGTTTGACTTATGATTGACTTGATTAAAACTTGATTGAGATCAACTCAAAAGATAAACAAGAGAGGTTTAAACATAGTTTTTTAGTCCTATTGTTGTGAATGATAATTTTATCAATGTGATTTATTCACTTTTGTTGATTTATTTGTTATATTTTAATTTTCTGATAATTTATTTGTTAATGTTTTTGTCTAAATATTGTCAGGGAGCAGTTGATTATTTTTTATACTGGTAGTTGATTGTTGAGTTTTATTGCATGGGTTTGATGATGTGAGCTTTATGTTTTCTAAAGTGAACATAGGTATTAATTCGTGTTGATTTGATGAAGTTTGATTGTTGTTTTATGGTTTTTATTTATAAGTAATTGTGGGCTTTATTTGTTCGATTGATATATCAATCGAACACTACACAGCCATTTCAACATCACTTTGGGCTTGTATCCTGCACTTTGGTCATTCACAAAATTACAGTTATTTTGAATTATTTTTATGAACACATTTTTTTCATAAAAAAAGTCTGTTTGATCATCACGCTGTATGTACATGCATCACTTTCAATTTTTTGTCAAGTTTCACGTGAAACCTCCTAACTGTTGGAATTAATGTCATCCGTAGATACTACAGCTACAACCTTAGAATTGGAATTTGCTCTATTTTCTAGATAGATAAAAATGATTTACAGACCAATTTAAATCTGAAATTGATTTAAATGTCTCTGATGATTGATCATTATTCATCACCGACTACATAAATTGACTTTAATTTTTGAATTGGTCTTGGCAACCTTGCTCATTCCTATTTTTATGTTAGAGACTTATGCTACTGGTCCTGTCCTGTCATTATTAAGTTACATTTGCATTTTGCAATAAATGAAACCATGTCTTGAAAATCGGATCAGTAAGTGAACAAAAAAAATAACGGGTGGATAAGTCACTGGTTTAATTGCGGGTGAACTGGAATTGAATCATAATGTCATAATTATGACATAAATATATTAAAATTTTTTTAGTAAAAATAATTAAGATAATATTGAATGTATAGTATATATACTTATTACATTGTCAATAATTGTATTGATGGTTTAATGGTTTGAGTGTTTGCTTTTTATGCACTTGGCTCCATATTCAAACTCTCTCCACAACATATTTTTGGAAAAAATTTTAATTCTTCAAACCCGACCGTGACCGGTTCACTGGTTATTCCGGTTGAACCGGCGGTTCTTCTGATTTTCAAATTCTAAATTGATTTTGAGCATAGCTCAGGTTTGGAGGGCCATTTGGATTGGAACTAAGTCCGGTCATCAGTTCTACTGGTCGGTCCGGTCCGGGTTTGAAAACATTGCTACTGAGTTGTGGTGAAGAAAAAAATCCCTTATAAACACTTTTATATGATTTCTTCTTAGTTAGCGAGAAATATGGTCCAGTACTATATTGGGTTTGTAGGACCCATCATGGGTCTTACTTCGGTGATATGAACTGTTATTTTTCCAAGTTCGTATGCATAGATGATTTATGAAAAAAAAATCATAACTATATAATTTAATCATATTTGTTTATCAAAAAATAAAAAAATAAATTAATGATATATTTCAAATTATACTTATTTCCATTATTTAATTTTCTTATTATATCGATGTCTAATCACTCACAATTATGCAATCTATTTTTTTTTTAAATTTAAAATTAATTAAAAATCGAATCTTATTACCATAAATATAGGAGACAGAGAAGCAAAGATCTTTCTAAAAACAAAAATTCTTGTGCCACGTTAAATATGTATTTTCTTAATTAATGGCATATCACTTGGTCTTTTTGGGATATTTGACTGAATAAGGGTAGAAACTAGAAAGATTTTAGGTTAATGAAACAGTTGCAATTTTAATCTTGGCTATGAATATATTCAATTCAACATGTTAAGACACATGGATCATACCATTTTTGAAAAAATTGTAAGTTGCCAAAAATTCCTAGTGACCATGGGCCCATATGAGCACCTCTAGATTCATCTCACAAATACTATCTAAGCACAAATCACAAATGTGACATAGATTAGGTAAACGAAAGCAACATGTCTAACTTGTATCATAATTTTGTCAAAAAAACAGGTTGTCAAACAAGTATACTTTCTCTCATAGCTTCTCATTTTGATATAAGGGTTAAGAGCATTTTGTCATTGTGGGTGTTTGGGAAATTATTATTTTAATAGGCTATTTTAGTTTTTGAGTATTTTTGTAAGTTAAAATTTTTTGTGTTTGGAAAGATAGTTAAATTTTTTTGTAATTTAATATAATGTTTGTGAAAGAAAAAGTGAAATGATTATGAATTTGATGTGACATTTTGCCTTATTGACTATTTTAGATTTTGTAGATTTTAGCTCAAAAAGTACAAAAAAGTCTTTGCCAAACAAGATTAAAAAAAATATACTTTTTCATCTTATAATTTTTCAAAAGTTTTGATTTTTACTATGTACAATTAAAAGGTGTAGATATACTAGTCATTGTTGTAAACTCATAGATAAAGTTGAACAAAATTTCAGAATTTTGATTTAGCATTCTCTTGATTCAACCTTTCTGAAGAATTACCAAATGATTTTACTTTTTACCTATTCTAATATGAAAGATTTGTTAATCAAATAATAAGTCGGTTTGAAAATAAATGAATTACTGGTTGTAAAATATTATTCTCGTTAAATTTAAAGCTAACTAAAATAACAAGGGGTTCAAACAATTTTGATAAATACTACAGTTGCACTTTATATCTTTAGTTTTAAGTATATTTTTAAAAAATAAAAGTGCATAGTGCATTTTGTACAAAAATATAGGATGTCGCGTTCAATTTTCACAAAATTTGTCAAGTGTAAAGTGCTACTTTTAATTTTACAGCGCGAAAGTACAACTTCGTCCAATGCAATTAATCACTAGAAATTAAGTAATGATATAACGATAAAAATTTGTTATGTGAAAAATTTGCTATACTTTTCCCTCTCAGATGGCTCTTTTGAGAAAAAAAAAAAAAGAAGAAAAGAAAGTAAATTTTTAATTTTTTATCTATTTTGAGTCATATCACTTCTCATATTTTTTACTTATAAAAAGATAAAATAGACTAAAAAAATCAAGAAGTTAATTTTTTACCAACTTCTCAAAATACTACTTTGTAAAAGAGATTTTCTAACCTTTACTTTTAAAATTACTGATAAATTTAGTGAAAATTAAGGGTATAAAATGAAACTTAAAATTTTACAACCAACAAATTGTAACTTTTACGAAATGATAATTTATGGCTCACTTTGGGAGTAGTTTTTTTTATTTTTTTGATTTATTTTTTGTATTTAATAAGTTTTTTCAAAAGTTATGTAAAAGATTTTTATTTTTTGGATTCGTCTTATTCGAATAATCTTTATAAAAAAAATTAAAAAGAATCTCACTAGAGAGCAAATTAAGATTCAAAGAAATTTAATGCAACTTTTAATTTTATAGGAAATATTTCCATCTAACAAAATTATTTGGATAAATTACACCCATCTCTCCAAAGTTAAAATAAAAAAAAAAAATCAAAACATTGTTTTCATTTTTTTAAAAAATATTTTTCAAAAAATTTTAGGTAGCGTTTGGTAGAGCTTTTATGATTTGAGAAAAGGAGTTGTATTTTGAGTTTGTGAGTTTTGGAATTATGATTTAAGTGTGAAAAAATTGTTTGGTGAAAGAGTTTTGAATTGAGTGGAGAATTTTTGATTTGACATATGATATTTAATACAAAAACTTACAACTCATAACCAAACACGCAACTCAAAATTCTATTAAAACTCATAAAAAATTTAAAAAATTATGAAAATATTTTTTTGTTGAATATATAAAAATTAAGATGTGTCAATTGCAACAAAAAAAAAAATTGTATTGTTCCGGTCAACCGGCCGGACGGTCAATGGGACGACTTGTTAGTCCAAATTTTCTCGTCTTCGACCGAGTTTTCAAAAGTGAGCATGGAATTAATTTTTAAAAGCTGCAAACAAACACCATGTAAGAACCAATGATTGAAACTACCGTTTCAAAACTCAAACAAACAGAGCCTTACTCTTTTTTTTCGTATTTTTTTGTTTTTATTGAATTTTTTTAATATTTTAAGTAATTTTTTTTTAAAAAAAATTTAGACACATAAATATACTTAAAAAGTATAATTTTCGTGATTTTTTTTTAAAGTTTACTAAATACCAAAAATATAAAAATTCAATATATTTTTCATATTTTTTGTGTATTTATTAATTTTTTAAAATATTTTTTTACAAATATTTTATTTTTTAGATACATCTAAATAAGGTGTATCTAAAAAAAGTAACGAAAATACTTAAAATTTTAAAAATATTCACTTAAAATAAAAAATAAAAAATTTAATTTTAAAAAAATTAAATTCAAAAAATCGAAACTAAACAGACTTAATATTTATAATTTTAACATAATTATATTAAATTTTCTTAACTTTTTAGTTCATATAATATTAACTCTATTTTCACCAATAAGTTATCAGCCATATAGAAGAAGAAGTGATGTAATCATACCTTCCATACTGAAAAATAATTTTATTATTATTTATTTTCACATCTGTCTTATTTTTAATCTTTTTATTGTAATGTTAATTCACCCAAATTATTTTGGTACAAGGAAGTAATCTCCACTAACATGCGCCATCACCTTCTTTGCAGTTGGCTAACATACGCATCCCCAATCTCATTCCTCTTCCTCTCCAAAAGCCACATTGCACCTGAAAACCCCCAAATAATTTTTAATTTTTTTTTAATCTCTGTAATTTCATCCCCATCGCCCCCCAAAAAAACAAAGCCACTAACATGCGCCATCACCTCCTCTCCTCCTCCATCACCATGGCCTCCTCCTCCTCCTCCTCCTCCTCCTCCTCTTCACTTTCTCTCTCTAAACCCACCACCACCCATCACCACCACCACAAGAAACCCTCCCATCTCTCAAACCCTAACCCTAGCTCCACCACCACCACCACCACCCATTGCTCCTCTATCCTCTGCAAGCACTCCCCATCAGCCACCCTCGATATTCTCATCCTCATCCTCGTCCTCTTCTCCGGCACTTTCCTCATCACCTCCTACTTCTCCTATATCTTCCACTCCCTCTCTCTCCTTCTCCCCCCTCTCTCTCACTCCCTCCTCCATGACTCCTCTCTCCTCTATTTCTTTTCCTTTCTTCTCTTCTTCCTTTTCTCCATCTTTTCCTTCGAGATCTGTTGCGGAAACAGGTCCAGGAAGTGCCACAACCCTAGCTGTAAAGGCTTGAAGAAGGCCATGGAGTTCGATTTGCAGCTCCAGACGGAGGACTGCTTGAGATCGGCTTCCGCGGCCGTCAGGGAATTCGATGAGCTGCCTTGGAAGGGAGGGACTGAGGGGAACCCTGACTATGAGTGCTTGAGGGCTGAGCTCAGGAAGATGGCGCCGCCCAACGGCCGGGCGGTGCTGCTTTTCCGGGCAAAGTGCGGCTGTCCCGTCGCCAAGCTCCAAGGGTGGGGCGCGAAACGTGGTCGTCGGCACAAGAAGTGAGTTCGATGATTTGGTTTGTTTTGCAATTTTGTTTCAATTGAGTATGTAATGCATTGGATAGAATAGAACTGATTTCATGATTCGTCACATTGCATGTTTAGCTCTTTCGTCTAATAATTTGTTAGTGAGTTGCTGTTAAAAAAAAAGATGATAGTTTGCTGGTGAATTTAACTTATTGTGGGTTCACAGTTTGTAGTTTTTCTGCTCAAATGAGCAATCACATGAAGGTTGAGAACTGGAAATACTTTTACTTGAAAGCAATTCTTATGGATGATTATGGGTTTTATTGTTAATTAGGGGTTTGATGTTTTACCAATAGGTTTATATCAGTTAGCGTAAGAAACCACATGTTTGCTTATAGTTTATAAAGAAAAAAGAAGCCTTTAGGAAAACCTAGAAAAACCCTATTGTTTTTTAATGTTATTGATTGTTATATGATCAATGTTGAACCAAATCATGACTTGGTTGATTAGGATTACCCAACAACTGTGACAGCATGACTCACCTAGGAAACCTTTCATGGATGCTTGCCTGCTCTCTTGTTGACTAGGGTATGGCTATGTTTTATGGGTAGCGACCTTTTTGTCTTTTTGATTTTTTGTACCGTTTTCCCTGAACAATGTGCCCGATTGCAGTATTCTTCAGAAGAAGGATATTGGACCTCTGTTGCACAGTATGGTATTAAATACAGGTCAATCTGAGCAGAAATCAGTTGTTTGTGCTTTTTTGCCCCTTCTGGTAGCTAGCCCCAAAAATTAATAAATATGCTTGTTTTATCCCAAGTTTGCCTTAATTTACAGGATGAGACTGTAAATTATATGCTATGGTTTGACTTCAAAGAGAATGCCCTTTTACTTAATACAAAGGTTTACTGTATCTTCTGATACTTTTGTGTACAGTTTTTTGTTTCCCCAGAAGTTTCCCTTTGTGACTACTGTAAAACATTTATAAATGTCCCTGGACAATTTCTTTCTTTGAGTGACATAAGTTCTTAACAACTTGCAGTTTTGGATTGTTTAGAGATGCAAGCAACTCATGAGGGACGTTATCCTTTATGCAGGCAGGTAGCATATCATATTTGACATTGGATTGTTCTTGTTTTTCTCAATGCTGTGATGAAAAGGGGATTTGATTTGGTTGGGTAGTTAAATTAGGTGACGTCTAGTGTGATTAGGAGGCAGGCAAGAAATCCTTCGTGCACAATGCCATATTACAACATGAACTATGTAATAATAGGTTCCAACAGTTTTGTGGGCAGGTGCTCTCGAGGGTAGTGTTTTTTAAGGCGAAAAGCGAACCGAGGTGACAAGGTCTCCTAACGCCTAACCGCAAGGTGACGAGACGAGACGAGACGAGGCGAGGCGAGGGCTTCATCGAATTGAGGCAACCACAAAGGATATTTTTTTTAAATAAATAGTATAGACAAAAATATAAATATTTTCAAGAACCATCATGCATTTATCATTCCAAATACTAAATATCCATAAACAACAGTAAATATCCAATAAAGACAAATACAATCCACCAATCCAAAGGTTCTAAAAATCATTTTCAACATCAAGCAAATGAACTTCTTCTTCATTATCATTGACTTCATCATATCCTTCCATATCTTCTTCCTCTCCCCCATTTGAAATTGACTCTTCCTCATCAATAAGTTGTAATCTAGGTCTAGCTACTGATTTTGAAGTTAAACGACCCCTTTCTATTGCCCTTGTTGATCTAGTTCTTTGACTACTTTCCTCAACTCCAGCAGCTCTAGCAACATCATCCCATGTCAAAGTATCATCCTCAAAGACAAGTTCCTTCTCCATCCTCCCAACCAACCACTCGTTACTTTCATCAACATCTGTCAAAGCGATGGGATCAATAGTGTCACGGGAATTGTATCGACGTCTCAATACTCTATTATACTTGACAAATACCAAGTCATTCAGACGTTTTTGAGCTAACCTTTTTCTCTTTTAGGTGTGAATCTGCAAAAATTCCAACCAAATAAAAATATTCAAATTTTTACCTTGGTATTAATAAATTTATAGGTATTCATATTCACTACATTTAAAAATAGGTACTCACATGTTCAAATACACTCCAATTCCGCTCACATCTAGATGAACTACAAGTTAGGCTAAGAATTTTGATGGTAAATGTTTGCAAATGTGGCGTTTCAGAACCATATGCACTCCACCAATTAGCTGTTGATTATAACTAATTAATTAGAAAGAATATTTAAAATATAAAAAACTAACTAAAATTACTTAAGTATAAAATATAGATCACCTGGTGCCCTTGTAGTTCTCTGTCTAATGGCTAAAGCCATCCCAAAGAGACCTTCAGCTTTCTTATAGGTAGTTAACTCTGCACAAACTTTATCTTGTGTCTCACTGTTTGGGACCAACCGTTGTATGCATTTATATAGGCCTGACATGACTTCCTTATCTTTCTCAATATTCGGATTTGCGTAAAAATACTTTGGGTTTAAATAATACCCAGCTGCATGCAAAAGCCTATGCAATTGAACATTCCATCTATTGTCAATTATTTCAAAAAACTCCTTGTACTTCTCTTCATTTCCATTAAATGATTTTGTAATAGCTTCTTTAGCCCTATCCATTGCCTCATAAATGTATCCCATGGGAGGCTTTCTCTCACCATCAACCAATCGCAGCACACGAACAAGAGGACTTGATATTTTGAGAGCATAAAGAACAGTGTTCCAAAAAGAAGGCATTAATATGACTTGTGCTGTCTTTTTACCTTGTGGTTCCTTCGCCCATTTACTTGTGGTCCATTCCTCTGAAGTGAATATCTTCTTCAAGTTAGTTTGTTGTTGATGAATTTTTGATAAAGTTAGAAAAGCAGTTGCAAATCGAGTTTTTGCTGGCTTGATCAAATCCTTGCACTGGGTAAATTGCCTCATCATATTTAACAAACTAGAGCAGTTCACAATATAACCATGCACCGCAATTGCCTTTTCAAATGTCTTGTTGAAGTTGGGAATTTTGAAAATGTCCTCCAACATCAAGTCCAAGCAATGAGCTGCACATGGTGTCCAATACAAATGTGGCTACTTTGCCTCTAAAAACTTCCCTATTACAAGTTTAAAAAAAAGAACGAGTTTGAATATTCATATTGTAAGTAAGTGCTAAGTAAATGTAATCTAAGTTAATAATCGGCCAACACATTTGTTTAGGCACTATCTGTAACAACTTGAACCACGTTGGCTTCACCAATACGCTCCACAAAGTTATCAAGCAATTCAAACATCTTATTTGCATCCTTGGATAAGCTAGAAGTATCAACGGATTCAATAAACATTGGTTCTCTTGGGCAATTAATCAAAAAATTAATTAATGCCCTGTTTCTTTTGTCCTCCCACCTATCGACCATTAAAGAGCATTCATATGTTATCCAATCTTTTTTATGATCCTCCATGGTCTTATTAGTGTAGTCTACCTCTTTCTGCAAATAAGGAACCCGCACCTCATGGTAGCTTGGTGGTTTCATGCCAAGACCATATTGCCCAAAAGTTTCAACCATTGGCCCAAAACTATTGTAGTTCACAACATTGAAAGGTATACCCGTATCATACATCCACCTCGAAAACCAAACAAGAGCCCCGATCTCTCAACACCTTCTTGCTAGGATCATTATTATTAATTCTTGTTTTCTTCCCCTTGACTTTACGATTTTGCACTGCAACTTCCAGATCAGGCGTGATGTACACATCCATGGGTCCCTTTTTCTTTGGTTGTTTGGAAGTAACAGATTTGGAGGAGCTACTTTCTTGTTCTCGATGGGTAGAACCTTGAGTAAGAACAGGCCTTTTACCATGTTAATTTATCTCAAGAATTTTATCATCATCATCTTCATCATTATCCATCTCATCAAAATCAAAAACCATCCTCAATTGCACCTTTGATTGACTTTTTTGAGACATGTAGTCTTTAATCTCATCTTTGACATAAGATGGACATTTTTTTACAAGCAAAAATATTTTTATAACCACCAGCAAGATGTTGCTTGACTCGGTAAACACCGCCATTCATTTCTTTGTCACAAAAGTTGCAAATGAACTTTAAAAGGTTTTGGGGATTTACCATCCGTGCATATTGCCATGCCAGATCTTTTTTACTTTCACTCGACTTCGACATCTAATTCTAACCAACCAAGCAATTCAATGTTAAGAAACGACGAAACAATTAAAGTGCAAAGAACAAAACAATTTCAGCATAAAAAAAATTAAAGAACAACATATTTTTAGCAAAGGTAATCATGGAAAAATAGTATTTCAGCAAAATAATTATACAATTAACACAACAAAATAATTGTAAAATAACACAACAAAATAATTAAACAATTGTAAAATCAATTGAAAAAAAATTCCGCAAAATAAATAAGAAGAGAAACAAAACCAGGAAAGAAAAAAAAGGGGGGGGGGGGAAGGGGGGTCTGCCGATAGGAAAGGAAAAAAAGAGAGACAAAAACAGAGTTCTTCAAAGTAGACAAAAAAAAAAAAAAAAAGAATTAAGAAAGGAAGAAAAAAAGAAGAGGTCTGCCGGAAAAAAAAAAAAGTTTGAAGAAGAAAACAAGACGAAAGGAAGAATAAGCAGTAGGAGAAGACAAAGAGAAGAAAGGAAGAAGAAGACTCACCTCCTTTTTCAACAAAAATGATGTCGGAAGAAAGGAAGAAGAAGAAGCAGGTAATCAGTGAGGTTCTTCGAGGCAATTGTCGACTGGAATGATGTCGACTAGGATTTTGACTTCTTATTAGTAGAAAGCAATTATAAAGTGCAACGTATGTCCCCAAATAGCACAAAAGTCATTCAAATCAAGGGCCCAGATTTGTCGAACTAAAAGCAGACAAAAACTGGTGAAGCGACGCTTCGCATCGCCTCTCGCTTCATCACCTAAGCCTCGCTTCATGCGCTTTGACCTCGCTTCACCATTTTGCCTCGCCTCAGTGGGTATGAAGCGCTACGGGGTCGCCTCGCCTCGCCTCGCTTAGTGCTTAGGAGAGCGCTTAGTCGTGCCTCTGATAACACTTCTTGAGGGGATGGGAAAATTGAAACCTTTCTTTAATGATTGGTTTTAGAAACGTTGACTGTTCCAGTGTGATGACAAATTGGAGTGGCAGACTGCCATTTAAGATGGGTTTAGTATCTGGTTGAATGCCTACTTATTGAGTTCTCTTGTTTCTTGTTCTTTCTTTGTTTGTGTTAGTTATTATTGTTGCAAGGTTCATAGTTTTGTTAATCTTCTTGCCTGGGCCTATTATATATATGTATATACATTTGATTGGCATTGGGGTGTTCGGATCAAAACCTGACTAATCCCAAGGGTGCATAGGCCTTGCTTGGGCTAATATATTAGGGACGATTATTGCTTAAATTTCTAAGTTTTATAGTTTTGCCTTGGGAAGATTAGTAATTTTTCTTACAATGACATGGGGTATTGTTGTGTGAACCCTAATGGGCTTGTCAACCATACATACATTAGTTCAAAAGCATGGTAACGGGGTTTCTTTACAGTGATTAGTTAAAGCTGTCAAGACCCAAGTGCCAAACCATGGAGTGGGAGCATGAGCATGAGCATGAATAATGATTATGAAGCACACAGTGTTATTAGAGGCGTGACTAAGCGCTCGCCTAAGCGAGAAGCGAGGCAAGGCGAGGCGACCCTACAACGCTTCATCTCCACTGAGGCGAGGTGAAATGGTGAAGCGAGGTCGAAGCGTATAAAGCGAGGCTTAGGCGTCGAAGCGAGAGGCGATTAGAAGCGTTGCTTCACCAGTTTTGGTTTGCTTTCGGTTCGAAAGATCTGGGCCCTTGATTTGAATGACTTTTGTGCTATTTCTGGACATGCGTTGCACTTTATAATTGCTTTCCGACGTCGTTCCAGTCAAAGGTGAGTACCTACTTCTTCTTCCTTTCTTCTCTTCTCTTCCCCTACTGCTTCTTCCTTTCGTCTTCCCTGGTTACAGTCGAAAGAGAAGGACCTCGCTGATTACCTGATCGCTTTATACTTTTTTCTTTTTCTTTTTTTTTTCTTTTCCCCCTCTTCT